AGAACACAAAAAGCAACACCTTCTCCTTACACAGATGTAACTGAACAGCAGAGATCTGAAATGAGCGCTAATGTTGCTTTAATTTCTTATAGTGCATATTAATTTTCCAACATCTGGACATAATACAAAGACAAGGAGAGAAATACTTTAGTGAGCAGAGTCTCGTCATCTAACTTATCAGAGAAAACAAAAGGGTCATGTAATTACAGTATTTAATAAACCCTATTGGATTCATACAATTTATAGCGTTATAAAATTCACAAGCTCCAATCATCATTTAGCTTCTCAAATTGCCTAGTGCCCCATGAACATTTCACAGCAGGTTAGAAATGACTAACAGAATCCCAAAAATCTACAATTCTTTAATATCTTTTAAAGCCAAAGTCATTATTTTTCACTTGCAATAAGCTGGAACAGAAAGAACAGAAGGGTATTTTCCCACAGAGCTACAGGAGTCACTAGAATGATAGCTTTGAAAAATACTTCTGCTTTCACGTGGAGTTTCTGATCTTGTCATTGACTAAATAGAAACCTTGAACTTCCAAGAGGCAGGAAGAAGAGAGTCGAGGGTATTCCTTGTCAGAATGAACAGGGGTGTAAAGGAACTACTGATTGTTTATATATAATTCACTTCAGTCATTGCTGAAAAACAACGTGATCGGGCTAGTCTATTATACTGCAGGGCAGACTAACTCCGCTTATCACAACAGGATTGCAAGGCAATTTTCTAATAATAAATACCCTAGCTAAAGAAATGGGGGAACAAGTTTCTATCAAATCAGCAAGGCTCCAGTGGAGTCCAGACTAACCTAGACCTCTCTTTACTTATTTGGGGCCTGGTCCTGCTTTCACTGAAGTCATCAGGCGTTTCACAGTTGATATGTATGGGAACAAGGTATGGTTTCTATTTGGGTTGCATGCCCTTTCCCCCAATGGCTTAATGGAAGCTAAGAGAATATATTCAGTACCTTTTAGAATCAGGCCCTTAAAGAAAGAAAGGAATCACATTTTTGCCACCAAAGATGTTAAAAATCTGGAGTCTCAGGGAGCTTTGATCTCCTCAGTATGTTCCCAGTTTCCTTTTTTTCAAACCAATTCAAACATTCTTACAGTGACAAAGATCATTCTAATTTATTTTCTTAGGGCACGACTACACTGCAAGAATAGTTTGATCTAAGCTATGCAATTTGAGTTATATTGGATGCACAACTCACATCAACATAGCTTACATCTACATACCGCAGGGTCCATATTGCAGAATACCAACCCAAAAATCTCTCTTGTTGACTCCACTTACTCATCTCATTCTGCTGGAGTAAGGGTATGTCTACACTACAGCATTATTTCGAAATATCTTATTTTGAAATAGTTAATTCAAAATAAGTTATTTTGAAATAATGCGTCTACACACAAAATGCATTTCGAAATAGTGTTTTGCTATTTCGAAATAGCGCATCCACACTGAGTGGACGCTGAATCACATTTAAGGCCGGTCAGAACCACGTCCGGCAGGGCATCAGGTCAGGAGTTCAGAAAAGCAGACTTTGACTCCCTTAGAGACCTGATGGGCAGAATCCCGTGGGGTGCTAACATGAAGGGGAAAGGAGTCCAGGAGAGCTTATTGAAGGCATAGAAAGAAACCATCCCAATGCATAGCAAGAGAAGCAAAAATGGTAGGAGACCGGATTGGCTTAAACAGGAAATCCTTGATGAATTTAAGCACAAAAAGGGAGCTTACAAAAAATGGAAACTTGGACAAATGACCAGGGAGAGCTATAAATGTATAGCTCGAGAATGCCGGGGGGTTATCAGGAAGGCGAAAGCACAATTGGAATTGCGATGGGCAAAGGATGTGAAGGATAACAAGAAAGGTTTCTACAGGCATGTTAGCAAGAAGAAGGTGATCAGAGAGGGTGTGAGGCCCCTACTGGATAAAGGAGGTAACCTAGTGACAGATGATGTGGGGAAAGCTGAAGTACTCAGTGCTTTCTTTGCCTCTGTCTTCACGGACAAGGTCAGCTCCCAGACTAATGCACTAAGTGATGCAAGATGGGATAAAGGTGGACAACCCTTCGTGGGTAAAGAACAGGTTAGGAACTATTTAGAAAAGCTAAATGTACACAAATCCATGGGTCCGGACTTAATGCATCCGAGGGTACTGAGGGAGTTGGCAAATGTCATTGAGGAGCCTTTGGCGATTATCTTTGAAAAGTCGTGGAGATCGGGAGAGATCCTGGATGATTGGAAAAAGGCAAATATAGTGCCCATCTTCAAAAAAGGGAAGAAGGACGATACAGGGAACTATAGGCCAGTCAGTCTTACCTCGGTCCCTGGAAAAATCATGGAAGGGATCCTTAAGGAATCCTTCCAATCTCTTTGTACAAGCCAGTTGCTCTTCTTCATGTAGCTTTTAGTACATGAGAGGTGAACTCTTCTACTAAAGGCACCTATCATGGCTTTTGAGAAATTTTTAAAATCTAGAATTTCTTTTGCCATTTTTCTATTTTAGCTTTTGAAATAAATTTGTTTAGTGTAATGAGCAATCAGATGAGAGTAAATGGCTGATAGTAAACCAGATGAGAGTAAATAGCTAATTAAAATCCTGTTTTTTTTTCCTAGTGAGATTTGATTGTGGGCTTTTGGCGCACTATCACAATATTAGTAATAATAAGTCAGATGTCCTGATGTGCTTCACCACAAACATTACAGCAGGTCCCTCTTACACACCACACTGTTAAGTCTTTTTTCTTTTAATTAGAGGGTATGGCAATATATTTAAGTATATCCCTGAAAAACAACAATACATTCTTAATATATCAGAAAATAAATCCTATAATTCTTTTCCTAATGTTAAGAAATATTTAACTCTTGAAGTGTTTTAATAACTTTCTTATTTCTGATTCTTTCATAGGTCACAAAGACAGAACTGGAAAAATTAAAATCTAGTTACAGGCAATTAATAAAAGAAGTTAACTCTGCCAAAGAGAAGTATAAAGAAGCTGTGGCTAAAGGTATGTTTATTACTAATAAATAGTGATCATTTTGGCTTTTTATTATTGTCTTTTAATTACTGCCTTTTTAAGAAAATAGTTATAACAAGGTGACATTTCTGTTTTGAACAGCTCAGTTGATGAAATATCAGAAAGCTGAAAGATTAATTGCAGTAATTAGTCCAATTCCTTGATAGTACGGTTTTCCAAAGAATTCACGGAACATGTGATGGACCTTTCTTTTAAACTTTTCATCTTTCTTTCTTTTTCATCTTTCAAGTTTTTTCTTTCTTTCATTGGTACTATGTAAAGATGGGAATTGTCAGACACGTGGATGAACATAATTTGTTGTGAAAAAGTCAACAGGGCATCTATAAAGGGAAATCATGCCTTACTAATGTACTAGAGTTCTCTGAGGGTGTCAACAAGCTTGTGGGCAAGGGGGAACCAGTGGCTAGTGTACTTAGATTTCCAGAAAGCTTTTGGGTATGTCTACACTACAGCATTATTTTGAAATAAGCTATTTTGAAATAGTTAATTCTTAATAGTAAATAAGCTATTTTAAAATAATGCATTTTGCTATTTTGAAATAGCGCATCCATGCTGAATGGACTCTGAATTGCACTTAAGGCTGGCCGGAACCAGGTCTGGCATGGCATCAGGTCAGGATTTACTTTGTGTGGTTGCTTCCTGAGGCTATCTGAGGCCTGTGCTTTAAGGGACACACACCCCCGCGTGCATCCGGTTCTCAGTTTTCCCTGATTGCTTGCCTACCTTGATGAGGGACAGAAAAAAAATTCTCTGTCTGCGTGCTTTCACTCAGTACACCACATCACTTTGAAACATGGAGCCGGAGCTGCTCCTGGGCACTCTGGTGCTTCTCTTGGACACGTTGCTGCGAGCCTGGCTGCACTTACTTCAGACTGCCATCTGGGACGCCCATTGAGGGGCTGTCAGTATCCAGGAGGCCCTGCAGGAGAGCTTCCACCTTGAAGAGCACTAAGAGCCTCCCTGGTCTGCCCCACTGGGGCCTTATGTCTCATTCCTCCCTCATGTCCTTCCACTTACCCCCCCTACCAACCTCCCTTCCTGATGTAAAATAAAATATCGTCCTTTTCATGAACACAAACTGTCTTTATTTAACAAAACTGGGAGGGGAGGGGAATGAAACTCTGGTGAGACTGGGGAAAGGAGGCGGGAGAAGGGAGAAGAGAGAGTGGGAGAAGGGAGGGGGAAACCTGGGAGGAAGGAGCTGGAAGGGGGAGGGGAGGGGAAGCTCAGGGCTCTGGGTTGGGGGTCTCGCTGGACCAACTTGATTTTCATGTGAACCTGCTCCTGGGTTCGCATGTGGCCTTTGGTGGCCCGGGGGAAAAAAGGGGAAGAGGAAGCTCAGAATTGGGGGGAGGGTGTCTCGCCAGACCAACTTGATTTTCATGCAAACCTGCTCTTGAATTCGCATGTGGCCTTTGGTGGCCAGGCTGGCAGCTATCCTGCCATAGACAGCCGCGTTCCTCTGTCTAGTGCACGTTAGGGGCATCCCCCGCAAACCTGAATAAGGTCCATGATCTCTACCCTGGACCAGGAAGGCGCTCGCTTTCTCTGTGCCCTGGCAGGCTCCTGGGAGTTGGCAGGCTCCTGAGGAGCAGTGGAGGGCTGGCTGCCAGTGGCTTGCTGGCTCATGTTTTGGGGCCACTGGGTCAGGGGCAGTGACTGCTGGATCTGGGCTGGCAGGCTTGGAGCTGGCACAGGCACTGTGGCCAGAGTCAACCCCTTTAAGGGCTCCGGGGAGGTGGGAGGGAGAGTAGTGTTCCTGGTTGATGCTGGAGTGGCCACCAAGGCACCCTGGGAAGGCTGGAGGCCCCCTATTTTGATATAAGTGTCTACACAGCACTTATTTCAAAATAGCTATTTCAAATTAATTTCGAAATATCAGTTTGGCTGTGTAGACGCTAGTAAAGTTATTTTGAAATAATGGCTTTTATTTCATAATAACTTTGCAGTGTAGACATACCCTAGCAGAGTTGACAGGATACTTATCAGCAGTTGATTTAGTGGGATGTTTATTAGACTCACTAAATCAACCACTGGTGGATCCACAGGTGAAGCATTGATGCACCCCATAATGGAGACAAGCCCCTAATTGAAGGAGGTTTCCTAAGAGATATGACATTTCAGTTAGAGAGTTTGATCGCTGTGCTGCTTGTGTCCTAAACCCATAGACTGTACCATATTGATACGTATCACACTGTATCTGCTGATCTATCCATTCACAAGTATTTTGTAAAATAAACTGGGCTGTTATTTTGCTGTGTCATGCCACAGACCTTAAAGGTTGTCACAGTCGTTGCGTTTCTTCTTTTTATTAGCTCCCAGGAGGGTCAAATGAACAAAGATTATGAGCACAAAGAAACCTGGAGGGAGAAATGGAAAACAAAATGAGTTTAAAGCTAATGACATCTTTGTCGGGGTTCATGTTTTAGTATTGGAACAAGTAGCAAACCAAAGCTAGTTGTTTTTCCTTTTTTGTTTTGTTTTTTGATATTTTGTAAATGATGTTGGAAGTGAAAAAATAAATTTGAATATTACGGCACGTAAGAATATCAAAACAGAACTTGTGAATCAGAGAATACTTACACTGAAATGCTACCTCAGCTCTTAAAGAGCAGACATATGTATTTTAGAAATGAAATGTCTGTCTGTCTGTCTGTCCATCTGTCTGTTTGTTCAAGAACTCCTCCTAAACGGTAACAGTGACGGCAGGGGGGGGCACCCT